GCAATTTAATTTGGACCCTTTTGGAGTACCTCTTCCATCGCTTCCTTTTCCACATCGACTACCTCCTGCCTGACCACCCTGCCTTCCTTACACTCCACTTCTTGATGCATGGGGTTCATCATTACTTGCCGATGGACAGGTATGTTTGATGGGTTATTTTTCTTTTCAAAAAAATACTTATTCCAGGAATAATCAGGCTGCGGCTTGTGATGCCCCCGGCATTATTCTTCACGCTTCAGTCACCCATGACGCGCCTCGCCCACCTGTTGTTCCCTCCGGCAATGGCCAATGGCATCATCTCCGGAGCCTTCACCTTCTGTAAGTTTCCACTATGTTGTTCAACACTTTCAATTTATTGTCGTTCACCAGACATCTTGTATGATTGTATGCACTACGCGTAAACATCTTCTATCTCTTTGTTAATCTATAATACTGATGACATGTCTAGCCTGCATCATACTAGGCTTCCTGCCTACTTAAGAGAGATGAAGAAGTATCATCTTGCTCACCATTACAAGAACTTTGATCTCGGATTTGGTGTCACGAGTACGATTTTTTGTTCATTCGCGTTGTATCACTAAGCCATACTCACATCTCTTTTCCTCTCGCAGGTAAAATCTGGGATATCGTTTTCAACACCCTTCTGCCAGTATGAAGTTTGTCGTGAATTATGATGGTGCTTTCTTCCATTTTGAAGTACATGGATCGAGGTATCAGGAAAATTTTGACCCCTTATTGTACCTTACTCCTTTGATACCCATTTAACTGACTGCTCTGTGTTGATTCTTTGTGCGGTAGTCTGTTGTACAACCCGGCCGTCTTACGCAATTTTGTCAACAAGAGCATCTGCTATCTACTTACTCTAGGTCCTTATATACATTGTCAGCCTACATTTGACATTAACTTGTCTCAAACTTTACCGACAGATAGACCGGTGACCTAGCTAAACCTGGGGTACTCCAGAACAACTCATGAAAGCAATACTTGAATGCCATGATGTTGCTGGGCTTGACGTCAAAATCACCGTTGATGGCATCGTTGATCGCCCTTTCGGGATGTATGCAACCAAACTTGTGCAAATCCATTTGACAGTCACTGGATTCCTTGAGAGGTAGCTTTAGTGCACGTCGCACGGTGGACGTCCCCTTTGACTTCCTCTACCATCATGGCTACCCACCCTGTCACTGAAGAGGGTAAACTCCTCAGTGAGGCCCTGAACACTGTAAAAATACAGGTTCAGCAGATGAAGAGGCACCTTGTATGTCCGCAGTTTTCCTTAGGACTACTTCTATTCCATATACTGACATCCTTCCTGCGTGTTTCTAGGAGCTGGATGAACTCATGGATGCACTCAAGAGTGCAAGCTTGATGCTGGCTGAGCTGCGGACTTCTTCATTGTCACCGAAGCAATATTATGAACTCTGTACGGCTTCCGGTTTAGTTATGATAATAATAACGACTTCACAGTTTTGTGTAGATATGGCCGTATTCGATGCCCTACGACACCTCTCGAACTACCTTTACGATGCGCATGCTCAATCACAGCACCATTTGGCAGACCTCTACGAACTCGTTCAATATGCTGGCAACATTATCCCTCGTCTTTATCTTATGATCACCGTTGGTTCTGTCTACATGTCTATTCCGGATGCTCCCGTTAGGGAAATCATGAGAGATATGATGGAAATGTCTCGAGGTGTGCTCCATCCTGTACGCGGTCTCTTCCTCCGTCATTATCTTAGTGGTCAGACGAGGGACCATCTCCCTGTTGCAATCGAGCCCGGGTGCGTCGCTTTCATTTACTTTTTCTCGCTTGTCTTGCTGAACAATGTCTTATACGCAGGCCGGCCGGAAACCTACAGGACTCTATATCCTTCGTCTTGACCAACTTTATTGAGATGAACAAGCTCTGGGTTCGGCTACAACATCAGGGCCATTCACGAGATCGCGAGAAGCGCGAATTAGAACGTCGCGACCTTCGAATTCTGGTTGGAACCAATCTTGTCCGGCTGAGCCAGCTGGAAGGGGTGGATTTGGAAATGTATCAACGGATAATACTGCCTAGCATACTGGAACAGGTGGTTAACTGTAAGGACGTGATAGCGCAGGAATACCTCATGGAAGTTGTAATTCAAGTGCGGCGTATCTGCTCTGTTCAAAACTGCACGTACTGACACTGTCCTAAGGTCTTCACTGACGAGTTTCATCTTCACTCTTTAGGACCCTTCCTCTCTGCTACCGCACAGCTACATCCAAAAGTTAACATAAAGCAAATCGTCATTGCACTCATTGATCGTCTGGCCGCTTATGCTGCTCGCGAGGCCGAAAATGAGGATCCAGAAGAGACGAAACGGCAGGAAGAAGCTGCGGCGCGTCGCTTAGCGGAGAAAGTCAAGCTGCAGAAAGCCCGAGTTCGTGAGAACGGCGCTTACAGAACCGTTTCGCCGACTGTGGAATCCAGTGCATGGGGATCCGACTCTGAGACACCCCAGACCCCCGCTACTACATTGGAGTCAACGATATCCTCGCCTATTACGGACGCACCCAATGGTGAATCGGAGAATCCTGGAAAGGGTAAGGAGAAGGAGGGTTCTCCTGTGCGCAAATTCAGGGGTATACCTGAGGACGTGCCGTTGTTCGAAGTGTTCTGGAAGCAAGTTGTCGAGCTCATCAAGGTTGGTAGTCGTCCGTACTTCTCTATCTCAGGACCAATCGACATCCTCGCAGGCTCGCCCGGATTTATCAATTCAAGATCTTACAGCACTCTTGGTGTCGCTGACGAATTTGTCATTGAGTTGTTATCCCGACAGGCTAGAGTATGTTGACCAAGTTCTTGGCTTCACAGCAGAGAAATGCCAGGAGTTCAGAGATAGGTACGTTACCTTGTACGTCGTCAATGGTCATTACACTTACTGGCTCGAATAGTCCTGACTTGCATACACCTCAAACGACAAGTAACCTTTCCGCACTGCTTGTCGCTCCAATCAACTCGTACCAATCTGTCCTCACCCTTCTTGCCATCCCCAACTATACCCCGCTCCTGACGAAGCAACTGTTCTCAACGCGCAGATCAATTGCACACTCTATTATCTCTTCCGTTCTCAAGAACGAGACAATCATCGAGGCACCAGAAGACGTTGACGGTGTCCTTGATCTCTGTCATGTATTGATTAAGGACCAGTCGGACTCAAGTGCGGCGGCAGCTGGTAATTCCGCTCAAATGAACATCAAGGATGTACGGAGACAAGGCCCTTATTTCGTCGAGCGGGAAGAGATGGCAGAGGAACAAGGTTGGGTAGCAAGAATGGTGCATCTATTCCGTGCAGAATCTTTGGATGTCCAGTTCGAGGTATGTGGTGTTATAATGTCATCTGTGTTTCGGTATTGGTGAGCCGTTCTCCTAGCTTCTTCAAATTGCGCGGAAACACTTCGAGGCTGGGGGTGAACGTATGCGCTTCACTTTCCCGGCTCTTATCACCTCCTCAATCAAGCTATGTCGACGATACAAAAACCGTGAACATGTAGTTCGTCTTTCTTTTCTTGTGTACTCGAAGACGGTCATGATGTTTTCCAACAGGAACCAGATTGGCAAAATAAAGTCTCTGCTATCCTCAAGTTCGCTCGGCAGCTCACTTCGATACTGTCTACCCAAATCGAAGCCCCTACAATTGCTCTTCGATTGTTCCTTCTCTCAGCCCAGATTTCAGACGAGTGCGGGTTCGAGGACCTCACATACGACTTTTATGTTCAAGCATTTAGCGTGTACGAGGACAGCATTTCAGAATCTCGGGCACAGTTACAGGCTATCACGCTCATCATTGGCACGCTGGCTGGAGCCAAAGTTTTCGGTGTGGATAACTATGATACCTTGATCACCAAAGCAGCACTGCATGGTGCAAAGCTTTTGAAGAAAAGTCATCAATCCACAGCGGTGGGATTGGCCAGCCATCTCTGGTGGCAGGAGGCGGTCCCTAGTGGTGATGCTGATGGGGAGGCTGCTGACGGTGAAAAGGAGGTTTCGGAGAAAGTGATAATCAAAGAGGATAGTGACGAGACTACTGTGAAGGCCGTGAGCCGTGGTCATTTCTTGTCATGGATGATAGACTAATTTCATTTGACAGTATCCCTACCAGGACAGCAAGCGCGTGCTGGAATGTCTCCAAAAATCCTTACGGATAGCTAACTCTGCGATTGAGGAGATCGTCACTGTGCAGCTATATTGCGACACTTTGGATCAGTATCTATACTATTTCGAGCGCGGTGCTCCGGCAGTGAGTTGTGCTTTGGATATCCTCAAAGAATGACTCATGACATCTTTAAGGTTGCCCCAAAGTTCATCAACAGCTTAGTCGAGCTTATAACGTCGAGTATCGACAACATCTCATCTGCTGATGTCCACCCCTCGCAACGCGCGCCGCCCGGACTCATCGAAGGGGTTCAGACTCCTGAAATGATTACCAGACATTTCAGGAACACTTTGGGCTATATCAACCGGAAGAAAAACGCGTCGCACGATAGCAACGCGCCTATTGACACCCGGTGGGATGATGTGGATGTTGTGGGAGCATCGCTGAAGATGGGGATCGGACGGTGATACGTATATTATCTTGCTTTTGCGAAGCTACTTTCTTGTGCTTAATAATTTTCTGTACTGTCGTGATGGAATTTTTGAAAATTTCTTACCCTCGATTCATTTCACGCGTGTACCAGTTCGTCTCGAGAGGCTTCAAGTCACGTTGATTCAGATACGAATGACCGTGAACGCTGTTCACCAAAACGTTCACATTTGCTGGTAGGTAGGTTGTTCGGGAATTCAACAACTATAAAGAGTTTTTGGATTGTTTAACGGACCCGTCCGAAATATTCTCAACTATCCCAGGGGCTTTGAGGCTTGAGGCCTTGACGCTTGAGGTCAAGATAAAGGTCGATAATTGGTTCTTGGTCAATGTCAGAAGAAAATGAAGAAACCTACGGTATAAACCACTTAACCAGAATGGACATGCATTAAGGGGGAATCGAACCCCCGGCGGGTCGACATTACAATGAAATGGCAACGACCCAGGTTACCACTACCCCATTAATGCTATAAAAATCAAGAAGATATAACGCCTCTCATAACGGGCACGTTGTCTTTTTTCAAGTGAAACTAGTACTACTTATCACAGGAACAACATAAAGCACTTCATCAATATTAAATATCAAGTACCCAGGTAGTACATGGTATAAATCAAGTCACGAATGATGGCGACCAATTATTCCATTCGCCAAAAAGTCTACGTAGTACGACAAGCAATAATAGATAACCAATCCTTATCCTTCACAAATCAATCAATAACGCCTCCTTCCTCTCTTCAGGAGGCACGAAGCCAGTTGGCACCGAAGGACCATACATCGGGAAAGATGTAGGTGCTGACGTCGGTGCGACAGGGAACTGCGGGAGCGTAGGCATAGGAGTTTGCTGCTGGACCTGCGGTTGTCGCGGAGCTGCGACGGTGTTGCTGCGGGTGAGGTGTCCGTTGACGGACGGTGGACCGGGAGGCGAGGCGGCATAAGAGACGGTTTTGTGACGGTCGAGCGACGGGGAGGAAGGCGGGAGGGCATAAGATTGCTGTTCTTGCTGTTGGGGTGGTTGTTGTTGTTGTTGAGGCAGAGGTGGCGCAGATGGAGGTGCAGTCGGGGCATATTGGGGCTGCTCTTGAGAGGCTGGCAGAGTTTGAAACGATAAGGGGGACGAGGCCTGGGATTGGTAAGGCTGTGCGCTGAGAGTAACGGGAGGGAGGGTGACGGGAGGAAGAGATTGAACCTGAGGTGTAGCGGGAGTTGTGTAGGGTTGATACTGCTGTGAGGGTTCGATGTACGATTGGCGCCGCTGGGGTTCGGGTGAGGATTGGAGCGGAGAAAAGGCGGGCGCCGAGGGTGCAACAGAAGGTGAGGACTGTTGTACGGCTTGGGTTGGCTGCCACGATACAGGTTGAGCGGGAATATAATGTTGTGGCTGGTATTCGGTTTGGGAGACTTGGGGAGACAGTGTCGACCGTGGTGGGTTCGCCTGTGTTTGGTAGGCTGATACTGTTGCAGGAACAGGAGAGGCCCATTGACTATGGTTGTTGGCAGTGTTGTAACTGGGCTCGGCGGGCTGATAGGATGACGTAGCCGGTGGTAATCGCCATGTTGGGCGTTCGACTTGTTCTGTTAGGATTTTGTCGTAGAGCTTGACAGCTTGTGACAACTTGTCATGCATATCTGACAATATTTCTGTGGAGGATGGTCTCAGTAAGTATGGATCAGAAACGGGGAAGATACTTTCTTTCTTTGCGACCAGCGTCATCAAGACTCAGCGCCAATTTTGGCCGTAAACCGTTTGCTTTGTCGTACAGTTCATTAACCGCCGGATATCGTGAAATGTCACGACCACCCTGAGCCTCGACTTGATCGACCGTCTGGCTGAATGTCAATATGGCGTCGGATTCCAATGGTTCAAGATCGTAGCTCGGCATAACGGGAGGAGCAGGCACCTGAGATATACTAGGAGGATATGATTGAGAATAACCGGGGCCAGTATACTCCGTGCGCGGCGATTCTACGGCAACAGGAGCGCTGGGTCTGGGTGTGTTTGCTTCCCTCAAGCTAGCTTCGATGGCAGCACGAAGATCTGGGTCGTCTTCCTCTTCTTCGATAGTGCTCGGTTGGGTGGAACGAGAGGAACGATCAACAAGAGGTGGTTCGGAATATTTCCAGTTGGTGGGTTGTGACGGGACGTAGCCAGGACGTGAGTGGCTGCTGGAATTGACTTCCTGTAACGAAAGCTGGATGGCGCGTTGGAGCTCGGCATCTGCCAAGTCACGCGCACTCTGATGGCGGGTACTGTTCATACTAGCAGAGTGATGATGTCCTCTGTGTGTGCTGTTGCTCCAAGGAGAAATAAGGACAGCATCTGTGATGACTCGAAAAATACATACGCTCTCTCCGCCTTTCGCGTCTGCTTGTTATAGCATCCGTCACAAACTCGAACTTCTTGCGCGATCCCAAAGTGCGGAAGAGCCATGGACTTGGAGGAGCACGCCTGATCAAAAACCTGTCCGCAGTTTCGACAGTGATGTTTACGATTGGTGAACGTGAATGGTGTCCGGCACCGAAGGCAAACGTCTGAGTCGATCCATTCTGGGGCGGTCTGCGTGTCTACCATCGCAGAGTTCGCGAGCGAGAGATCCTTTGGAGGAAAGTTGAAACCTGTGGTTTGCTTTGATGAGACGCGTAAGCGCAGTATGAGGTGGCATTGCACGCACCCTCGTGAAGAAGTGTCTTGTAGACCTGGCCTACATATGCTAAACTGGGTTTCCCTTCGAACGCGATACTCCAATTCTGGATGAGCCTCAAGATGTTCTGTTTGACGTCGTGGTGCAGCCCTGGAATTCTCAAGATCGAGACTAGGTTATCCATGAATTCCCTTGAAGCCACTTCTGCAAGAAATAGATCTCCTCCATTCTTGACACAGATATCCGTGAGCTGTGAAAAAAAAATAGATGAGGGTTAGGATGATGTAGTCGTAATGTGACGTACGCTAAGCGCCAGATTCTGTACATTGGGATTCTTGTGGTTGAGCCGCCGCTTCAGAGCACGCATGGCATCCTTTGCTGGCGCAGACTTGGAGCGTATCTGGTCACATATTTCGAGGTTCAGTGCAATGTCCTCTGAGCCAGCAGGTAAGAGCTCCGAAGTAGCTTTGTCTGGGAGTGGCAGACGTCAGGGGAGGTCAGAGGCAAGGAGTGGGATCTCGCTGCGCACCGATTGCATCGTCGAGTGTGGATGTGCCCCACAACCAGCTTCCTAGGCCAGACATGAGAGGAAGAGATGATGAAAGGTTGAGTTCTGTTGTAATAGTCCCGAACTCCGCATCACCAGTGCATGACTAAGCGAGATATCGACTTGTTCAGAAGATGCAACCATCGTCTACTACTGAATGACTCGAGCATAAAATTCTTCGACGATGGGCAGCGTGGTGAATAATATACCTGTGATACCGACTGGCCTAAACCTTGGCTTTTCATGGCGAAACAGCTTGGCGTGATCGTGGTTCACCTCTACGCCTCAAACTTGAACCTTATTCTACTCCGAGTTCTCTGTTCTCATGCTTGTCTAGAGGATTGAATTGGAGAGAGAAACTGCATTTTTCACGTCTTGAAATTGAACTTTGCCCTCCGGCCCCCGCAACGATCATTCAATCTGACATGAATATCGTATATACATTTCTATATTTTTACATGTGGCTTCCCATCGTCACGGCTTTTTTACTTATCTAGGAACCATATTTGCTTACCACTGACAGCTGACTCACTTCGATTTTCAGACTAGGTTCATGGTGCACGTCAATACATGAATCTGTGGCGCTAACGTGCAAGAGCCGTATACCATGCAAAAAGTTAGCTCCGCTTGCTCAAGGGTCTGCCGAACAACAAAGGTCTTCCATGCTCGCTGTTCGTTATAGATCCTGGATTTTTGTTCGAAAGGGTTAGGCATTTCACGAGTTAAGCATTTCATCTGGTACAACGATTCAGACATTGCCAGATGTATTATGAACACCGAGTTAAGCATCCGTTAGGGCATTATCGTATCTGTTGCCTCCCGATTTATGAGTTATCATCCTTTTAACAAGATAGAGATGGTCTTCCTATGGAGACCTGGATCGCTCATTGACGCTTGGCAAGATATAGGAGGTGATCGACACCCACTTGCTCAAAATGCATTGAGCCGAAACGGGTGTCCAACTTCCTAATGGCCTGGAAGCTCTCCTAAGTGCGCTCTTGGATGGTGTTGTAAAAATTTCACGAGGCGAGATAATGAGCTAACAAGACAGAAGACGTACTTTGGGAGATAAATGGGCCCAGATGTACATATTAACGCGTTCGTTCGACATTGTACATCTGTTGTTCGGTTTTCGAATCCTCTGGAGAGATCATAAAGTGTCTCGTTAGCACCAAAGAAGATTGTTTCCAACGAAGGATTTTGCAAGGTGGATAGGTTATCAGTGACTTCTTTCCTCCAGGGGTACCCGGACCGACAACCGGAGCTCCAGATGCAAGTCGCGTATCCAGGTTTGGATAGTCGATGGACGATGTGAGCGACCGCCGGCATCAGGGCTATTGGTCAGTACTTAATGAGAAGCATTTTTGTGGTTTTACGAGGCAGAGGCGGCGGAGCTTCTTTCATATGAGCTTGGATACCCGAGCGGGACTGTAGAGGGAAGCGATGGTTTGGGGGGTCATTACTCAAAAATTCAATTGGGTGCAGAATAAAGCAGTCGTTGTACCAAGTAGGAGACCGCGAGCTTGCATGCTTGCGCTTGAACATACGCTGGGGTTTTTCATGTTTTCTAGAAATGTTGTGCACAAATGGCGAAACTCACTCAAAGCGCCAAGCGGGTGCTTGGGGCGTTCGCCTGGACGTAAAATAGCGGTGCGATGGATTGCCAAATTGATAAGAATTGTTTTTGTAGAGTCGCGCGTGGTGGGGGATCTCAACACGAAGAAAAGATTTTACGTGATTGATAATCCGAGTAGAACGGTGTGGATTCCGCGGGAAGGGAGACGCGTATAAAGAGCGTGGGGCGCACGTGAAGTTGTTGCGATTTATTTTGATTGTGGCTGGGTGATCGCAACAGATTTGCCTTTCGCGGCCGCTGTTGCCAGCGTCGACTGTTCCCATCTCCCATCTCCTCGCCGCCCAGCACGACGACGAGCTCAGTTCTGCTCGCTGTAGGCCGTGGTCAGTGCTCTGCTGTCGTCCCAGCCGCGCCCTGACACTCCAACAGCTACTCACGGGTTGGCTCGCTGTATTCTGATAGTCCATGGCTGTTCTTGCACCTCGCGACTGGCAGCAGCAACAAGTGTATCAAGCGGCAATGGATCCAAACTCCACCAACTCGAGGCAGCGCTCGTCTTCGACTGCTGACAGCGTACACCAGCATCCGCAGCAGCAGCCTCATCACCAGCCGACTTTCTCATACCCTGTCCAGCAGCCACAAGGCAGCTGGACTCCTTCTATCACCGCTGCGCCCTTTTATCCCTCCTTCTACCAAAACCATCAG